AATATTTCCATGAACACGCTGACTAATCACCACCTGATGTTGTTATGTTGAGGTGTGTCTCCACTGTGACCATCTTTTCAATGAGGTCAACTTTTACCAACATACAGACAGACTGATAGCGACTGAAAATTAATTTAAATTTATAGATGATAAAGGTTTATACAGGTAAAAGGGAGTTACCCTGATGTGTTCGCACTCCGCTGATTTGCTGACGTAGAGGAGTCCCACAGGCGTGACTTGCTGTGGCAGTTACTATCTGTGTTGCACATGAGGGTCTGCAGGAAAGGGAAGAAGCCTGTGCTGGGGAGGTTCCGAGGTCCCACATAACCTGGTGGAAAGAAAACAACTTTTTTTTAGTACTGCATCTAAATAATGCTGACCTTTTTTTTTAGGTAAAACTGCACTAATATTGATCACCGGGGGGTAACACTCAGTGTTACCCCCCGCACACTGAGTGTTTCTACCACTTGTACAGGGCAACTGTGTCGGGCTGTTTGGTGTAGGTGGAGACACCTGTGAATGTGTAGAGTAAACACTTGAGCAAAAGGGTAAAGTCATTCAACTGCATTCCAGTGACTTGTCCATTAAGGGATTAATAAAGGGACTTGTAAATGTCATTACAAGAATTGATCATAAAAATGTCAAAGAGAGCCAAAGTATACAAACAATTTTGTGGGTTTTTTTAACCTATAAATCAAATAAATGTTCAAATCAATGCTTTAAGAGATTTCTTTTTAGATCATTCTGATCTTTCTGACCTCAGCAAACACATTTATATTCACTTTGACTAAGCAGATATACCTGAATTGGATTGATGGCCAGGCAAACAGTTCATTTAAGTCATTGACAAACAATGATTATGTAAACTAACTCTGAAGTTCTAGTATTATATCGTAACTATAAGTAAACTAAGGGAGGTTTCAGGTCTTGTTTGATCACACCTGTCTCAGGTGTGATCAAACACTGTCTGTACTCAACACAAATGACCGACCTGTAAACGTGGGAGGATTTGGCTCTTTTGTTCACTACACTCTGGAGTTATAAAATTACCTCTGTTCCGTCAAAGCACACAAAACCAACAAAATGGAGCTGGATTTAGTGGCCAGAACTAAGACTATGAAAATAATTCAATGTACTGAAGGCTCCACATTCTCCTAAACTGACCATGATTCGAACCATTCTAATTCTCTTTACTGTTGAACAACCTGGTTGACTATTAACCCAATGAGACACAGGGAATGTTGTTTAAAAAAAATGACAAACAGCAAACTCCTTCTATCAGAGACTTATTTTGTTATCTGAATTATATGCAGATAAACTATTGGCCTCAACGTCTAAGGAAAACTGATAAATAAAGATGACAAACAAATAAAACAAATGGAATGTCAAGGACTCTGTATTTGTCTTGATGTTCTTTCATTATAATAATTGGCGAAATTTGTATGAGTAGTTGTGGAACACAAGGCTATTTTACCAACCCTTTCATGTATTTAGTGGTAAATCACAGATACATGCAGCACTCTTCGTAGTTTAGCTGACGAATCAATGGGTTTTCCGTCAATGTTCCTCAATCCATACAGTATTTTTACAGCATGGATAAATGCAGCAGGTTTTTTTTTTAACTTACATGTTTCTTTTACAATGGGAGGGAACTGACGTCGGGTGACAGCAATGATGATGAAGATGATCAGAGGCCAAATGATGAGAGTGAGGGACCATACCTGCAACACAGAAATATTACAATATAACACTTATACCAATATAATATATATTTAATTAATTAAAAATAAATTGGCTAACTTTGAATTACGACCTAACTAAAGCTATCTAGCTAAAAATCACTCACTGGATGTCTGATCCCTCCCAACCCATTCTTCCAGAGAAGAAGTCGCAGCTGTTGAAAGAAGGCCATTGGGTGAGGAGACTGAAACTGAAAAAAACAAAAACAAAAACAGAATTCTATAAATACATTATTCAAATAAAAATAACACATGCTTAAGATAGGAATACAACTTATAGGGAAAATTACATCTCTAGGGAATGTTATATCCTGTATAACTATTATTGACAAATACTTTTCTAACTAGAGTCTGTGGATATTTTTATTTTATTATTCTAGACTAATCTGATACTAACGACACGTGAATGTATCTAGTCGCAGTATATTTGTATATCTGAAAAGTTTTTAGGAACCAAAGAAGTTAGTAGTTATAGGACCTTGGCGTGAATTTATTTTGACGTATGTGTTTTAAGGTCAATAGTAGGTACAAAGGCGCATTAGCCTGACTAAATACTTAATTGTTATCAAATTCAAAACCAAGTGAAATGACAAATCAGTTGGTGTAAACACCATGCCCATTGCTTGTGCACCCCGAAGCTTTTAGAAAATATTCATATAAAACGTTATGCCTATTTTTGAGTGCATTTGTATTGATCATCCTAATAATAAAAATCCACATTTGTCTACAAATTCACGTGCACCTACTTTTAACCAAACGTATTAAATTGAATTTAGGTGCTTAAAAAATTAAATTAAACCAATCGTTGATTGGTTTCGCAACCAAAGAAAACACCTGCGTGACCCGTCCGTGGGTCCCAAACGACTCTTCTGAGATGGCAACACCGTTTGTCATGTAGTAAATGTAGACATTTAAATAAACACCTTTAAATACAACTCTTTTAAATCACTCCAGTAACTACAACGTGTAAAGGTTTTTGTATTGAGAAAGTGATGAAATCAATAAAACCTTATCAAATCTCTCTCACCTCAGTGCGTATCTACTGTGGAAGCACTTGCAGTGATGCTGTTATCTGACTGTGGCTCGCAGTCTTCTAATGACGGACATGTTGCTAGGTGGTTCCTAGCAGGGTCCCCTTTCCATTTCAGTCGGTTTGGGAAACAAAAAAAAAAGCAATAAAGTAACTGTGAAAAAGAAAGTTGATCACAGCTTCTCCAGTGGCTTCGCAGAAAGAGAAAATGTTCCTGTCACGGAGCTCGGTAATTATGGGAAGTGAAGCTCCCTCCTGAGAGAAGAGCTGAGGCTGTGGAGCAGGGCGTGTACTCAACCAGACAGACAGGTACACAGAAACACTTAACAGGACTTCATAAAACATCGCTCGAACTGGCTTTTACTTCATTATTATTGGACCAAAATAAACAGAACCAATGTCGACATTGGAATTGAAAATGACGAGAGAAAAAAAATGAAAAAAGTTTGATATGAAAACTTAGCTTCCATATGTCTTAGATGTCCTTTACGGGTCATTTCGTAGACTGGGTCAAGAGCCACATAACGTAGAGATCAGAATTACTTCTAAATAAACAAAAGTTATATTATCTAGTTCTATTATCACACTCAGCAATAAGACAATATTTAAAAACTTTCAAAAAGGCTGAATAATCGAAATAATCAATTAAAACTCATTGCTAGTACCTCTTAATTGAGACGTTAGCATTAGCATTATTTATACTACAGCAAGTTGACAGTATTGTTTATAACGTTTTTCATTGGAATTCGATTTTGAAATGTCTATCATTGTGGTTGACAAAATTAAAAAGTTATTTAAATTCCATTGAAAACAATCATACCAACACAGCAGGAAACATACACGTTGTTTGTTTGAAACATTTTCAATTTTAAAGAACAGGCATACAGTAAACCATTATCCTAAAAGAGATCCACATTATACAGAACAATATGAGCAGATGTAACATTTAACAAGGGACCCTTGAAACACTGATGGTTTATTACTGAATCACTAGGAATTGACAATAGAGAACCCCCCCTCTACTTTTTTAATACAAAATAGAACTAGAATCTTGTGGAGTTCTTATTTTCTTTTGCTGCTTAATGGTGGACACCTTGACATACTGAAGCACTTCACAAAGTATTATATTCACATTTCTGTGATGATGGTGTTCTTCGGGTTACACACATTTTTCCCCAAATGTATGCCATGTCTCTATGGCCAAAGAGTTCAAATTTTATCAACTCTGCCAAGGCAACAGTCTAGTTTTTTAAATGTATTTTAGCATACTTTTCACAAATACCTACAAAAAATAAATGCTACAAAACCCCAGTTCTGCCTCCTTTTTAAGGAGGTCTAACTTATATACATAATAATATAATATAAAAAACATAAATAAAATCTGCATCACAATAGCTGCAAAGTAAAGTTGTAGTATATCTAAGTAAAATGTCTTTGTTTGTTAGTTTTAGTTACATAAGACTCCCTGTAAGTATAAGCAGCAAAGACACTTTGTCATGTGTTGTTGAAGCAGATGGCTCCATTGGGAAAAATCATGACTCTTATCACATGGGGCTTCCACCAATAAGCATCACAAACAAAGGCAACGACGACCTGGAGACTGTACACGTGTGAAATAATTACTGTGGTGAGACCACAAAGGCAGATTAAATGAGAAGACTAATAATGACACAATGAACAACACATGAAATATTAACCTCAGGAACATATATCTGCAATCATTTCCTTCATTCAAGTTTGATATGGCTAAAAGGATCATTGTAAAATCTTTCACTAATTTTCTTCTAAAACACTGGAACAGACGTTGCATGAAGATGGCTGTGAAAAAAGACACCATCAATTGCAGGAGGGTGTTTTTCCAAAGTATGTGTTTGTGTGCCATCTCTCTTACACAACAGCTCCAGCATACAATCATGTGATAGGAATTTTTCAATTGCAGTGAAAAGATTGCAGTGTTCAATAGGTACTTCTCACCTGTACAAACAAAGGCTACGTGGATGACACTTGACACAGATGTGATGGTGAACAACAAACACGCAGATATTAATCACACTGTACATTTTGTCTTTTAGCTTGTCTCGAGTGTGAAAAGAGAGTACTTCATTCCATAAAAAGCAGAGTCAACTCCTGGTGGCAGGAAAAGCCAGTTCCATTGAACTTTAGTAAAGATTGGTCCTGAGCCAGAACAAAGAGGTTGGCCCTGAACAAAATTATTCATTAACTAAACCTAAATCTAAAAGGGTTACTGCATAGCCATGAAAATGCAACAATAGAATACATTTTGTCGTGATATAGAATAAGTTAAAATGTTATAGAATAAGTTAATTATATATACACTATATGTTAAAATCAAGGAGTTAGATCGATCATTTAAACCAATAGTGTTAATATTTGATTGGGCCTGGCGGTCACTTTGTACAGGAATAATTGGTTCCTACGGTCAAAAAGATCAAAAACCCTGATTTATTTAATGTACAAGTTAAGGCACATTTTGCGTGGTTGTTCCTTTTCACATACCAAGAGGGAGCAGTAACTAGACTAAAGGCTGGTTGACCAGCTCAGTATTGCCTCAGAGACATTTGGATGCAACCTAGCAGTACATTTATCTTTTACTGTAGTAGTTAGTAACTAGATTTAGTTTATTAGTTTATGTCAGTAAATAAAGGTTCACTGTAAACTGACTGATTTGACTTGTATTGTATTTCTGCAAGGTCAAAGTTTTTTAAGGTCAATGTTGACTTAATTCTTTAAATACCTCATAAACTGCCATCAAAGTTGTAGCTGTGTATGTTTAAACCAATCAGTATACTTTTAAAACAGATATTTATTTACAAAAAAAAATAACTGCACTGGTAGAAGTACTGGTGGATCAAAAAACACTATACCACAACAGAGGAAATGAGGCAGGTTTTTTTTGTTAGAGCAGGTCACATGGTGAAAGTGGAACATTTTGAAAAACTTGAATCTATTCACATGACAGATAAATGTGTCTCCAAATATGTATGTAGAAACACAAAACCAGTTGAGGTTTAGTGTTAGCACAGGTGAACATTCTGGAATAAAGGGTGTGTGCTTGACAATATGTTAGATCAACAGGAGACAATGGTTCCTGTAAGTTCCTGTAAGTACCAGAAATGCAACTGCCTAATACTCACACTCACAGCAAAGGCTTTGATTCAGAAAGATATTGAATTTGTAAATTATTCAAACATTGTTCAGGCTATAATAAACAAAGTAAACGCAACATAATACTGGTGGATTTTTAAAAAAAAAATCAAAAACCTCTTCAACAGTCGAGAGAAAATTACCCTGCAGTGGTGTTCTTCCACTGAAATGAGGCAGCGTTACGTAGCTCCTAATTTGTGCTGACGATAAAAAGAAAGCTGACAATTGGATGATTTTTACTCAATAAAAACATTTTGCAGCACAGTCTTTGCTATTTAGGCTGAAGTTTCCTGAAGTCACAGTGGTCAAAACATTTGGCAGCACAGTCTTTGCTATTTGAGCTGAAGTTTCCTGAAGTCACAGTGGTCACGTCACATCACAGATGACGATAAAAACATCATTAACCCACAACAGTTTGAAGTCCTTTTGATAAATCGTAAAATCTGTGATTTGTGGCAATCTGTCAGTCAAGTGAAACATTAATAAACTATTTTCCAGTGTGTGGGCTGTTCACATTCTTTTTCACTGTCCCCACAGAAACGGTTATATGTGGTTTTGGGGTCAAAACCCAGAATCTCCCTTTCCTCATGAATGCGGAAAGAGAAGGTGGACACAGACGTTCCAATGAAAAACCTACAAGGAGAAAAGATGGGTGAAGTAAATAGACATATACTGAGGAAAAACCTCACAGGTAGGACAAGGGTAGAAGACACAAGACATGACTACTGGACTTGTTTTTCAAGCTGCCAGTGTAACTCAAATATTCAGCAGTACATAGTTTTTCTTTGATTGCCATAACCAAAGAAGTTAGGTATCGTTTCTAAGAAAGTTCTCATATGATGCAACTCAATGAGTTGCTTTGTGGAGTACAAGGCGTGGGCGTACAATAGCTGTCTGACTGTCAGGGGAGGATCCTCCCCCGACAGTAAGTAAGTACCTTTAAGATTCCGATGCAGTAATTTGCTAAAAGAATAATCCTGATCACATTTACAGGATCAGAGGTGGCAAAGAAAATCTCATCTTTAAAACAAGTCTGTATTTCGTCAAAAAAAAGTTGCTACGTTTAAAACAGAACATCAACAATAGATTAGCAGCCATGCTAATGGCTGTCTGTCAGAAACGTGAATGAAAATCCCTTCAAAACATCCAGTTCAAAACAGTGGTCCCCAAAGTTTCAAGAACCATCATTGAAACCCCTGCTTCAAAACTTAAATTAAATTTAAAAAACCCATGCAGTTTCCTCTCTGTGGCATAATTAAAGAAAATGTTAAAATAAAAATTTAGAAAACAAAATTTCTGTAGTCCCTTCAGGGGCCCGAACCCCCACTTTGGGAACCACTCGTCTAGAAAAGTCAAGGGTATAAACAAATACAGGGTTGTGTTTTTCAGGTGTTTCCTAAAGATGTGGAAGAGAAATATAAATTACCTTGCATGAGCACATATCCACTGGTCAATAATGGCCACTCCTCCGTCTCTGAGGAGTTCCAAGTCTTCTATGGACGGCTCAAACCTCACCATTTCTGGCAGCAATCTTTTCAACTCTTTTAAGTCTACAACATATACACATAGCCCACATTACCAACACACATCTCTGTAGTAACTATAACATTTATATTTACTTGCATAAAAGGGAAAAATAAAGACAAAATCATCACCTTCTCCGTCTGCATCTGTTGCAACAAATACTTTGTCAAGTTTGTGCTTTTTCATTAGGCTGCGTATTTTTTTGACTGCCCCTTTAAGGCTGGGGACGTCCTCTCTGTGGCCCCAGATAAAGTCTTTTCTGCGCATATGGACCCCCAGATATGGCCCCCCCTTAGCTGAACCCAGTTTAGCCTGAAGGAATGGACAAGAGTGAAAACAAATAAATGAAACTTGTCAGTCAAGTTACCATGATGACTAGTCTATTATGCTAGTCTAACTGCTTTTATAATAATAATATTATTTCTTATCATCATTCGTGGCACAGTACAAGACAATTTGACCAACTTTCATGCGAGTCCAGTCCTCGTTGTAAACAGTGTTGTCTGCGTCATCTGCAGAGTCCAGGTATTTTGCTCTGAAATTGTCGCCGATGATTCTGAGGTGTTTGGCAAAAACCATGCTGCGGCGAGTCTAAGCAGAAGAAAGATGTTTGCAGAAATTTAATCTACAGATGAAACGGGTTCAATCAACATTCCTGATCTTGTATCTTGTAAAAAAATCATTTGGACATTTTATTTTATGTAAGAACCCATGTTCTTTCTCACCTGCTGATTTTTTTCATTTGTTTTTCCTGCCACACTGATGCCGAGCATAGCTGCAGCAGATTTCCCATGAGTCACTGCCGCTGACGGAGTTTATGTTATGCCAAATTTCTTGGAGAATGTTATTTACCAAAAAGATTTGAATACAAATGTGAGGCCTCTTCTAGTTTGCATAAAAATGAGAAAAGTTTTGTCTAAAAGTGCCGCTGCCTAGCCTGCTGTTAGCCTACGCACACTCGCACTTATGTCTGCCAGTTGACACCAGTCTTACTGATAAAAGTTGCCTTACATCCCAGTAATCTTTACCAGCATAGTGATCATGCAGCAGCGTCTCGGCTCTGTCGAGCATCACTGATCTGAACAACAAACACACACACATTCAGATTCCTGTAAATATCAGCAAAAATATCAAATGCAGAACTTTTACAGTGATTCCCAAGGGTGTTTGTTGTTTTTATTAACACGCTAATGCTAAGATATTAGCATGACTCAAATGTTTTCCTTTATACACTGTTCCTTGTGGATTCATAATCTAACAAGTCTGTCGTTAAAACCACAGACTGTTGCAATAATGTTTCAGAGAAATTCTCTGTCAGAGATAGAACTGAAATGAATTAAATAAACTCACGTTGCTGTGATGTTTCTCTGAAGAACTGGAGCCATGATGGAAGCGTGACCTTGGGCTGAGAGACACGTGACATTTCGGGCTCGTGTTTCCTCGTAGCCCCAGAACCAACCCCTAGGACATACACACAGATACATGGAAAACAACTGTAATGTTAGACAGGTAGTAAGCACAGATACAGAACAACTGTAATGTTAGACAGGTAGTAAAGAGGAAATGAAGAGTTAACAGTCAGATAGAAATAAGTCATAAATAATAAGTAACACTGAGGGCAGGAATGTCCTACTAAATATGCTGTGTTTGCTACACACAAAGTGCATTTTAAATATTTACCTGTAGTAGCCCTGTTTGTCTTTGGTGTACATTAACTTATCAATGCACGGTCGTATGTCAACTTTTTCTTCCCATTTCCCATCAGTCCATCCTTCAGCGTAATTCTGAAGTACCAAGACATGGTCAAGGAATGGCCCTCCATTCTCTAGATCAAAAGTGAAGCAAGGCATGAGCAAAGGTTTGAGCATTACAGACCTTTTAATCCAATAAGATTTTGTAGATCTTCTTACCAGCAATAAATTCCTCGTACTCAATAACAGGCACGTTGGCCTCCAGACTGGTAAGGCTGAAGAACTCAGACCAGGGAATGCCAATTTGGTGAATGTTGGCACTTTGCCAGTGATAGAGGCGACCCCATGGAGGAAGCACCAACACCCAGTCATTTCCATCCTTCCTTAAAGTCTTCACCAGGGAGGCCATGCGAATGTAAACATCTCTTCTCAGGTTGAAACCCTCTGGGGGGTTCACGTCATACAACAAGTATCTGTAGGTAGGGAGGATCGTTTAGTTCGATACGTTTTAAATTTTATTATAATTTAAAAGTATTTATTTTTCTGATCGGATTCTTAGCTTAGAGGCTGCATTACTTAAATACAGTATATAGTGTGTGTTAGCTACACTGGCTAACATCAACCTTAGTGTGTTAACTCACCTTAAATCCTTAGCTGCAGAGGCAGAAACAGTAGCCGTGTGACTTGCACTAAATACATCATCTGTCTCAACGACTGCAAAGGTTACGAACAAAGACAAACAGAGGGCAATTAAAGGATAATACGAAACACTGAAGTAGTCCGTTATATTTACACTACTACGCGCCATGTTTTCTTATGGCCACGCACTTCCGGAAGGTCGAAAGAGTCTATATGGTTGCTTAGTAACCGATAGTGCGCCGGCTTTTTTAGTTCTATTCTTAAATTAACATTTTATTATATAAAATAAAATATATAAATATAAATATATAAAAATAAAAATGACGCTATTTATATTTATATGTCTTTATAAAATTGCTGTGGCAGTCAGTTTGTGAAGTAAAACCCCGGAAGCAGACCGGAAATAACTCTAGAAATGAGGCTAAAGTGCTAAAGCTGGATAGGAGTTGTTGGAGACTAACAAATAATAAAGTTATGACGTTAAAACGAAACTAGAACTGTTCCGGACTTTGCAACATATACCTAGTCTTTAGGTGCAACTGGGACGGGCTTCCTGCAGGGAATGTCAACTAACGGGAACCTATTGCCACCAACACGTCTTCAACGGTAGGGGTCGTGCTTGCTTCATAAGTCTCTTTAGCTCAACAACGTGAGAAACTTCAGACGTCTTCACTTCATGCCGTACCTTACAGTGAAAATGTCAGCCATTCGATTTCTGCCTACAACTTCTTCCTTTCTCTAATTTCCTTTGACTTTCTATGTTTTCCTTACAGTCTTTGTTTCTTTCTTTCTGTGGTTCTTTCTTTCGCTCATCCCACAATAGACTAGTGATGAAAACAAAGAGATCATTGTGGGGGGAGCCTTCATACATACAGTGTACCTGTTCTCTCAAACAATGGAAGTGGTTCAGCTTTTTTACATGACCCAGGAAACACCTATAAGCTATTTAAACATGAGCGAACACAACAGCGATGGGTGTGTGTTTTCCCACCTGATATTTTAATGTAAAGTTTGTTTAAGTGAAACTTGAAATTTTATCTTAAATAATTTATCATACACAATTGAACATAGTGATCAAATAATACTGTGATTGTGTAAATTACACAACAGATGATGAAGTATATTTAAAGTACTCCAACGCTGGCTTCAGTTACCGTATGTTTTCATGAAGAGTCTCACTGCCTCAGGAGGGAAGCCACATAATGACTGGCTGTGCATTTGAAACTGTGGTATCACGCTAAGCCTCTCGGCAACCGTAAATATGATTATACTGTTCACAGGATGTTTTTCAAATAATAAAAGAGAGCATCACAGAGAGTAGTCATGCTCTGTTTCTGGTTTATCAATCCACATGCAGTTCAAGTCATAAATGGTAGGAGTTGTGTATCATTTGTGAGTGAAGTAACACATTATCTCTATACTTCAATAACTTTACAGAATGAACATGTCCATATTAGTGATGTTATTTCCACCAAAAGTAGTCTGACGTGTATGGTTTTGCATCAGAGCTATGTTGTTGTGTCAACAGTTGAGATTATTCCTGCCAACTGAAATAAAAAAGTACGACACTGCCAAGCCAAAACAAATAGAGCTAGAAACAAAGGAACAACAACATCTAAGCTCCAGAATTGCTCGTTAGGCTTAGGAGGTAATAGAAAATGGACGCCCCGGGAGAACTTATCACTTCAAATAACAGTGACCTTTGCTGCAGTTTTTTGTTGTTTTACATTGAGGACAGTGCAGCTATTCGCTCAATTTACTCAGGTGGTTTGTAATGACACAGTTTGCAGGTATTTAATACTGGTTCCCCTCCCTGGAGAACTAAACTATCATTTCAGATGTGGGAAGGTTTGAGAAAGTTCTATATCTGGCAGCACATCTTTGGTGGCTAAATCTTTCTTTAGATTACAAAGTTCTCATGAAAGCAATGAAACACTGAAGTACAGGAAGAAAACACACAACAGCTGTAGTGAAAAGCCGATATGGACTACCAGATCACTGGATCGCCACATGTTCCCGAGTGCAAGTACAAGTATTTGAATAAAGTATCACGGCTCCCCTATTCGAATTTACTTAAAAATAATTCTTGTGTGAGACTGCAGGCTTCAATGGCAAATTAAATTTGAACTTAGACATCTATAGTGTAGGCCAACTATGTGGCATCCTATTCCACACCCTGCCTACAGAGGCAGCACCCACTGCTGTAGCCAAAACAAACATCACACTCCCAACTGGGAATATTCACTAAAGACAGGTGAATTACCTCTAATGATGTTTTTTTATTATTGTTCATGAAACCAAGCTTGTTGTAACGTGGAAGTGGAAGCTATTTGAGGGTCATGACAAGTTCACAGTAAAGGCTGACGGTGGCTGCATTTACGAAAAAACAAAAGTTGCCAAACCACAAACAGTTGATTGTTCTGTGACTGTGTGTGACATGGATACTAAACCTTAAAACAAAATGAGCTTGTTTTCCTGTCATAAACTATACAAAGTCAGACATTTAAAACCATTGAGTGAAACTACATTAGGTTACTTTCCCCGTAAGGGATTTTGCTTCTCCTTTATGAAATCTGATGTGCACATAAAACACTCACACACTCTCACAATAAACTGGGTGGTGACCTCCTTTTGCATTGTGTCTATGTTAGTGGAGCAAATGATCCTATCCTGGTCCCATCAGTAGGTTCTCTGATTACAGCACAGATCAAATCACTGTACACCTTAAAGTGCAGGTATATAAGCACAGAGTGACACATCTGCTTTTAGTAATACTTCCTCTTACCGATACCTGGACATTGGAGAAGAGAGATAAACCATGGTGAGGAATGGCTTTACTGCACACCTATACTGCAGAACTTAACTTTGTGAAATTTACTTTGTTTGTTTAAAGGCGTTGTATGCAGTATCATGAGCTTTTGGTTGGTTGAGCTTGTGGTTGTAATATTTGAATTACTAAAATGTGAAAAGTAAGTGATGCCTGTGATGACCTTCTGCAGCGTGAGTGCATCTCTATACATGTTGGCCAAGCTGGGGCACAGATTGGCAATGCATGCTGGGAACTGTATTGCCTAGAACATGGGATCCAGCCAGATGGACAGAGGCCCTCTGACAAGAGTGCGAGTGGAGACGACTCCTTTAACACTTTTTTCAGCGAGACTGGGGCTGGAAAACACGTGCCCAGAGCGATCTTTGTTGACCTGGAACCTACTGTCATCGGTCAGTGAGACAACGTAGAACACATTGTGAAGACCTGAATCTGGTCATTCAGTAAACTGATGGTAATTCTTTCATTGTCCAGATGAGGTGCGTGCAGGAACATATCGTCAACTTTTCCACCCGGAGCAGCTCATTACAGGAAAGGAGGATGCTGCCAACAACTACGCCCGTGGGCACTACACCATTGGCAAAGAGATCATTGATGTGGTTTTGGACAGGACCCGTAAACTGGTGAGAACCCTGTTCACATGATATTTAAAAAAATTTGATCTGGTGTAGTACTGAAATTCTCAAGGACTGTTGTATTTCCAAATCACATGTCTTTCAGGCTGATCAGTGCACTGGCCTGCAGGGATTCCTGATCTTCCACAGCTTTGGGGGAGGCACAGGCTCAGGTTTCAACTCCCTGCTGATGGAGAGACTCTCTGTTGATTATGGGAAGAAATCGAAGCTTGAATTTGCCATCTATCCAGCCCCTCAGGTTTCTACCGCAGTTGTCGAGCCCTACAACTCCATCCTGACCACCCATACCACCCTGGAGCACTCTGATTGTGCCTTCATGGTTGACAATGAAGCCATCTACGATATCTGCCGCAGAAACCTGGACATCGAGAGGCCCACTTATACTAATCTGAACAGGCTTATGAGCCAGATTGTGTCCTCAATCACAGCGTCACTTCGTTTTGATGGAGCCCTGAATGTTGACCTCACAGAGTTCCAGACCAACCTGGTGCCCTACCCTCGCATCCACTTCCCTCTGGCAACATATGCTCCTGTCATCTCTGCTGAGAAAGCCTACCATGAGCAGCTCTCTGTTGCTGACATCACAAATGCCTGCTTCGAGCCGGCCAATCAGATGGTGAAGTGCGATCCTCGTCACGGCAAATACATGGCCTGCTGTCTGCTGTACCGTGGTGATGTGGTGCCCAAAGATGTCAACTCAGCCATTGCAGCCATCAAAACCAAACGCACCATCCAGTTTGTGGACTGGTGCCCAACTGGTTTCAAGGTTGGCATCAACTATCAGCCTCCAACTGTGGTTCCTGGTGGAGATCTGGCCAAGGTGCAGAGAGCTGTGTGTATGCTGAGCAACACCACAGCCATCGCTGAAGCCTGGGCTCGTCTTGACCACAAGTTTGACCTTATGTACGCCAAGAGGGCTTTTGTGCACTGGTATGTTGGGGAGGGTATGGAGGAAGGAGAGTTTGCGGAGGCCAGAGAAGATATGGCTGCACTGGAAAAAGATTATGAGGAGGTTGGTGGTGACCACTTGGGAGATGAGGATGAAGGAGAAGAATATTAAATCTTCTAAGTCAAGTGTTCACACAAGATAATGTTAAAATTAGGCGCTAATTCTTTTTAGTCCATTTTTTTCTATTCTATTCTTTACAATTTTTAAATGATTGACATGCTATAACAAGAGCATGACATGTGGTGTTTATGGTCAGTTAACAGTTATTAACAGTACAAAATCTGTAGTCAGACATCTGTTGTGGTTGTGGGCCTTATCTTTTCTTTCAGCAGTATCAGCTTAGACCAAACTCTGTCATCTGTGCTCCTCCCCCACCACTCGATTCCATGTGGAATGTAAGTTATGAAAGAGCTCCTATGTCAGTGTCGATATGCGATTCAGCTGTGACTTTGTTAGAGCGGGACAGACGGGGAGAATAAGACCAACTCTGCGACTGGTGTTGTCTGTGAAGCTCAGTTTCATTCTGTGTTCTGTGGGAACAATGGGAGCCCAGTGGTGTGTGACTCATATCTCTGTCATCTCAGGAAAGGGGATAAAAAGTTGTACAAAAGAAGAGCCGGAAGGTGGCCTTAACACATCATGGAAATATTGTTAATGCTTTTGTCTCTCATCCTACACAGCGGTTTGTCGGCTGCAAACTATATATTCTGAATGGATTCATTTAAATGTATGGTGGTAGGTTTGTGTTTTTCTTTAATCATCCTTACACATTGTTTGTGTTGGTTTTTTTGCTTTTAATTTTCCAAATGTAAAAATAAAAGTGTCTTCCATATGTTAAACCATAATAAAGTACTTCTGTTCTTACTCGCCTTTTTGTTCCTTTTTGACAAATAAGAGGAACTACATATGTGTGTTGGCCTGTATGAAAGCACAGATATATGTGGGAGGTTCATATATAAACCTTTTTTTCACACCTAAAGTCTGGTCAAAAATGGTTTATTTAATCTAAATAAAAACTGGTGAAAATTAAAACACTAAACCATTTTTTTCTCTTTTTTTTCAGAGAAGATAATATATTTTTATTTCTATGTCATTCTTCATCTAATGTGGATGTAAAACACAGAGCAGGTAAGGTTAGATAATGCGCCAAAATGTAATACAGGGACTTCCCTGGTCTCTTAAAAGAGAGCTTTCCCCCCCCCTCCCGCCAATGAGCTTTGCAGCTGCCTGCAGTGGTTTCCTGCCAGCCCCCTCCGCAGCTCTGGCTATATAAACACTGACTCTCCCTCTGCTCGCCACTTCTGCCTTGTGTCTGAATCCTCAACGTCGTTCGAAGGACAAGCAGACAAGATGGTGAGTATCCAAACTGCGTGACGCAGACATTTGAAATCTACACTCAGTCTTCATTTCCTCACGGATTGTCAGTGTTAGATGGATTACACAGACGGGCGTTAAAAAAAAACCAAAAACCTCACATCAGCCCTGTGCTGGGGAGTGGAGGCTCAGTCATCTTAAAGCAAACTCATCCTGCTGTAGCGGCACACTCGGGCTCGACTCATGCAGTAAAAGCTGAACTATTGACACAAGGTTATGGCCACAGTATGTCCTCGATTGCGTTTGATATTGTTAGACTCGACTGAAACTGTTAAAACAGAGAACAAATGTAACCACTGACCAAACGGTGGCCGACTCGCAACTATGTGTTAGTTGAGGATTTACAGTTTTTGTAGGCCATGAGGGAGTGACCGGGGTAATCGTGGCAATGGGGGATGGGTATCGAAAAAATGAAGGAAAAGAGGAGTGGTCTGGCCAAAGCAGTGTGGGCAGCCATCTTGCAACTGTTGGGAGTTTTTGGTAGGAGGAAGAGAGAGAGAGAGAGCTCCTTGGCCGTTACTCAGCACTATGCAGCTGGACAGGATGGGGGAGGAGAAATAGGAGAGAAGGAGGAAAGGGAGGATACAGGATGGAGAAGTGGGGGGAGGTTTTCACATTTCTGTGAGGCGTTGCCATTTTGGGTGCTCTAACAGCCCAGTGTGGCTTTCTTTCCGAGCCACATGTGTTAAACACATCTTCCAGAGCTGTTATAATACCGGAACAAACTTTCATTAACAGCAGCCTGTGTAAACACTAGAGTTTAAGTCTCTAACTGTGTCCCTTCACATGGCGTTCAGCAAACAAAGGTTCCTTTATCAGTAAGCTGTTGCTCAGCAGCGAGCAGACGTCACACCTTGTCACAAGACATGAAGTCCAAACACACAGCTGCCCTGCAGAACAGTAATTTGATACGTGTTCTGTGGTATTTTCTTCTTAGTACATTTGTAAACGTTTTTAAAATGGATCATTCTGCTAACACTCCCATATGTCGATTTTTTTAAATCCTGTTGGAGTTCCCCCAGAGACTTTAGTATTTAAATCAAATGTCACTCTAGCTGTAAATATTCAGTTACACTTTCACTTTGAGATTGTAAATGGACACTCTCTAAAACAACCTCTCCCATATCCTGTGTTTAGCGTGAGTGTATTTCTATGCATGTCGGCCAAGCCGGCGCCCAGATGGGCAATGCATGCTGGGAGCTGTACTGTCTGGAACATGGGATCCAGCCAGATGGACAGATGCCCTCTGACAAGACCCTTGGAGGAGGAGATGACTCCTTCAACACATTTTTCAGTGAGACAGGGGCTGGAAAGCATGTTCCCAGGGCCATCTTTGTTGACCTGGAACCTACAGTCATTGGTAAGTAATCTATAATATTGTTTTTGAAGTAGTGGTAAACCGGCGGTATGCTCGGTACAGTTTCTGAGGAGCATCACTGGTTAAGGCAGTTTTCAGGCAGCAGCAGTTTTAAACAATGTCATTTTTGTTTTCTTACAGATGAGGTGCGTACAGGAACCTATCGCCAACTTTTCCACCCTGAGCAGCTCATTACAGGAAAGGAGGATGCTGCCAACAACTACGCCCGAGGACACTACACCATCGGAAAGGAAATCATTGATTTGGTTTTGGACAGGACCCGTAAACTGGTGAGACCATAAAACAGTATTTTAAAAGACTTTGGGTTATACAGATAAACACATGTAGGGTTATTTAACTCCAAATATAAACATTTGTTATATAGAGTTATCATAGCATAAACTTTGACCTTTATTTTTATTTTTTTTCTCTCCTCTCCAGGCTGATCAGTGCACTGGCCTGCAGGGATTCCTGATCTTCCACAGCTTTGGTGGAGGCACTGGCTCCGGGTTCACCTCCCTGCTGATGGAGAGGCTCTCTGTTGATTATGGAAAGAAATCAAAACTTGAGTTTGCTGTCTATCCAGCCCCTCAGGTTTCTACCGCAGTTGTCGAGCCCTACAATTCCATCCTGACCACCCATACCACCCTGGAGCACTCTGACTGTGCCTTCATGGTTGACAATGAAGCCATCTACGATATCTGCCGCAGAAACCTGGACATCGAGAGGCCCACTTATACTAATCTGAACAGGCTTATTGGTCAGATTGTGTCCTCTATTACAGCTTCTCTTCGTTTTGATGGAGCCCTGAATGTTGACCTCCCAGAGTTCCAGACCACCCTGGTGCCCTACCCTCGCATCCACTTCCCTCTGGCAACATATGCTCCTGTCATCTCTGCTGAGAAAGCCTACCATGAGCAGCTCTCTGTTGCTGACATCACAAATGCCTGCTTCGAGCCGGCCAATCAGATGGTGAAGTGCGATCCTCGTCACGGCAAATACATGGCCTGCTGTCTGCTGTACCGTGGTGATGTGGTGCCCAAAGATGTCAACTCAGCCATTGCAGCCATCAAAACCAAACGCACCATCCAGTTTGTGGACTGGTGCCCAACTGGTTTCAAGGTTGGCATCAACTATCAGCCTCCAACTGTGGTTCCTGGTGGAGATCTGGCCAAGGTGCAGAGAGCTGTGTGTATGCTGAGCAACACTACAGCCATCGCTGAAGCTTGGGCTCGTCTTGACCACAAGTTTGACCTCATGTACGCCAAGAGGGCTTTTGTGCACTGGTATGTTGGGGAGGGTATGGAGGAAGGAGAGTTCTCAGAGGCCAGAGAAGATATGGCTGCACTGGAGAAGGATTATGAAGAAGTTGGCACTGACAGCATGGGCGATGAAGATGAAGAAGGAGAGGAATACTGAAGAGTCTTAGATCATCACACATTCCAAAATTTGTCACGAATGTTAACATTCCCTAAAACAATCTGATTACCTGTGATGGGCGCATGTCAGTATTAGCAATAAAGAATCGTCTGACCCTATCAAATCAGCATGAATTCATTCTTGAAGTCATCAAACATCTACTATAAATGATTAAAATTACAAATAAGAACATTTAGCATTTTTTCTAATGCACATTTTATATGATCCAACAAATTCTTAGATTGAGTTGTCTCAATAATATCCCAATTTTAAGCCACACAGTTTACCAATCTGTGACATGACTAGGAGGTGTTTTCAGTAGTACAATATATTAGCTTGCATTCACTTACAGATAAGATACCAGATTTTCTTCTAAGGTTTTCATGTTTTTTACAATCAGTTAAATATAAAACTGCCAATATGTACACAGTATGCTGTGCTAGATGCACAGATTTCCCTGACATTAGTCACCATTATTAACAAGTTCACTGACTTGTGACTTCATATCACGAGCTCATACAATTCTAACCAGTAACTCAACTGATGAGTATTAAAGATGACAATGCAAAGTGATTTGAATATATATATAAGTCAATAACATTAACTGACCTTGAGTCCTACAGCAACTCCTATATCCATATCCAAGTCATTATTCATTAATCATTAAATACTATCCATTTTGCCACTATTAGGCCAAAAATAGTTACATATATTTTCTTCAGCCTGCCTTGGAAGCGGAGGGTTCTCAGAGGAACCATATATCCCTAGCGGTGCCTCTTGTATGGCAGTCTGTGAGTTGAAACCGCATATTTAATGGCGTCACCTGTGGCAGCCTGTGTCAGTTGCAAAGACTCACGCTGTAAAATTACCTATTATTATTATTATTATTATTACTGACGAAGTCAGTAATATTTTTTTTTAACTCAGAGATTACGTGGGTGTTTGTATACTTTTTAGATTAAACTCTGAGTGTTCTAGATGTGCTATTACACTTTGAAACAAATGTAGTGTGTTCTAGATGTGCTATTACACTTTGACTGAGTCTTCTAGATGTGCTATTACACTTTGATTAAGTGCCAACTTAAATATTAATGCGCCATCATTGCGTGGCAGTGGGGCCTGAAACGGCTTTTTAATTGACGTTTGGCGACCCCTATGGACGTAAATAGTAAACGACCAAGTGGAATACTTTGATGTGACTCAGTGGTTTATTTTTTTCTCAAGAAAATTACAGTAATTCTAGTTTGAATCTAAATACAGTTTATCATACCGTCAACCGTAAGCGGCACCTTTTAGAGGAAGTTGTGAGTCATCTGACAGCGACAAACAGTCACTCAGTTAGGGGGCGGTGCCCTGTCTGATGACGTTACCCAAACACTGGCATGTTCTAGACGTTCTATTTTTTTCCTCTCAGCTGACAGTGACGTAGCGCCTGCGGCTTTAGACCCAACGGGACTGATACACACGCCGATACAACTGTCCGCAGTGGAGCAACGGTTGTAACATTCGGATACGGGCTGGTGAAAAGAAACGGACAGTCCAAGCAGGAGAGAGACTGTCTGTGTGTACGTGTACTCGTGTTCGGTGGTCACGTAGAGAGGAGCGCATTCCACAGGGACTGCTGTCATAACTTCGTCTGATGAATTCACTGTGGCTTTGTCCAGACCGGTGGACAGACTGCTGATCTGAACTCCAGGCCCTAACACTCCCACGGTACGTCCAACAGCTAGTCGTGACAGCCACTGTTGCCTACAGCAATCAACATCTGCTAATTTGTCACACACTTTCAACCTGGCCATAAAAGGAAATATTGCAGCCGAGAAATACCAGAATGATGTCCACGCTGTCCTTAAACGTTAACAGTGTGTGGATATAAACAGCACCTGTCCCTGCATGTACATCTGCTGCTGCCTGTGGAGCTTCACAGCTTCACCGATTGGGGTTCTTTTGAGGTCGGTGCTGGGGCTTAAAAATCCGGGTGTACGTGTTTACGTGCATTTAGTTGTAAATGTTATAATGTAATTTACGTGTTTGTTTTCCCATTTAGTTGTAAATGTTATAATGTAATAGCCCTTTAATAATACGTATGTATATATTAGTAACAACACGACTGCCGGTCGGCAAATCTAACCTCCTAGCCCTCAAGGGAGAGGAACTCAATGAAATATGTAGCTTACTTTTACTTAATGTACTATCAAGTATATCAATAACTAATTTATATACAAGAATAAATCAATATGCTCTAAGATAGAGGACTTTCGTGTTGAGTCAAGTGTTTAACTGTGTTATGTTACATTTGAACAGCTTTTTCAGCTCTCAAAAGTGAAAAAGTATTTTATAATCAAAGCAAAAGTAAAAACCTTAAACAATCCTGAACGGAATAACATTTTTACAAAGCCCAAATACTGAAATAACTTTTGAGTAGTTTTTTTTTCATGATTTATTTTAGAAGTGTTTGACTTCACCTTATGAGACTGTTGGTATGTTTTCGTTTTTATCAGACCACATGGGGGCAGTGTAACACCAGCTGCAGCTCTCCTAAATCTCGCGGTAGCTAGTAAAGTAAAAGCAAGCGGATCATAAATAAACAAGGACTTGGCTGCATTGTTATCCTTGTAAACAGTTAAGTACCGAGCATGTAATTGAGTGTGTTGTAATTTGTGATTTTAACCATTATTGTTTGTTTAATGCTACACTGGAGTGGACTGCGTTACACCCTCCATTCACTGTGACGTTCAACTGTGTTTACAGGCTCAGAGAAGTGGGTGTGTTTTAATGGAAGATACAGTGAAAGTAGTTAAATAGATTATAGGCAGTTGTAATGTATTATGTACAAAACGCCTCTTGTTAATAATGCAGTGTTCAAAATTGATGCATCTATGTAGATCAGAATGTCAAAATTAAATATTGAATAAATTAGATACATTGAAATGTAGAACAACAGGGTTGACACTGCACAGCTAAAGAGAACACAACATCCACATCAATCGTTCTCAAAATGGGGGGCAGGGCCCTCTACTTTCCCCCACCCTTAAGGAGGGAGTTAAAAATTCTTAAATGAAAATAAAATTTTACAATTTAAATGTATAAAACTATTTTCTTTTTAAATAAGTGAAGCATTGCATCAATAGCCGTGAATGTGTCAGCGTGTGCAGCTTTGACAATAGTTCTATCAACAGAATAGGGGCAGCGCTGACAAAAGTTTGGGAACAACTGGCATAGATAAACGTTTGCTGTTTCAGTACCTGGGTCTTCTAGGGACCTCAGACGCCTGCATGTTTCTCTGTCATATTAGAGCAGATCACAGATTGTTTCTAAATAAAAGTCATAATGTTGTGTACTTGTTTCAGAAGTCGGCGACATGGTGGATTACTACAGTGTCCTGGGAGTGTCCAGAACATCCTCCCAGGATGACATTAAGAAGGCGTGAGTACCCTGGGATTCTCTGAAGGATATACAGGGAGTCATACATAGACATTCCAGGAAAGCTATATTTTACATACACTCATTGCGAGACTATATTTTCAGTGTAACATTAAACCCATATATAGATAGTGGCGACTATAGTATAGTTTCTATAGCTATGATCGTCACTTAACTAACTTTTACCAGCATGCTGAGGTTCGGAGAAAAAAAATATTTCAGTAAAATTAAACTTCATTGTCTTGTGCATGTTTTATGACTTTGTGTTCTCGTGCGTGACTGCATCCATAGGTACAGAAAACTAGCTCTGAAATGGCACCCTGACAAAAATCCAGACAATAAGGAGGAAGCCGAGAAAAAATTTAAAGAACTGGCTGAGGCCTATGAAGTACTTTCTGACAGTAAGTTATAACAGTATACACACACGTCTGCACCACAGAAACCAAAGCCAGGCAATAGGCGAGAAATACCAGACATTACATTAGGAATTATTTTTAGTCAAAATCATTCAAGATTTCAACATCCCTAGTAATTCCATAAAGTAGTAGTAATATTTGTTTTTTCAAACCAAGTTTTCTCCTGCTGTCTCAGTGCTTTGTGTTGTTCTAGCGTTTTTACAATAAGACAATACATATAAAGAAGTTCATGATGATTTTTTTTGTTTCTGCTGCAGAAAGTAAACGTGATGCATACGACAGATATGGAAATGAGCGAATGCCACACACAGGTGAGTAAAATAAAATCCATCACTGGCTGCATCCATAGTTGAGAAGATGTGACTGATACTATATATGGTCAGAGATATTTATTTTCTTCCTGTTTCCCTCCTCCTTTCTATTTTATCAACATTACCGTCCCTCTCTGAATGATATTCCTTTTCCAGGTTCCTCCAGCTCAGACTTCTCATCAGATTTCCCAGGATTCACCTTCACATTCCGTAGTCCAGATGAGGTATTCAGAGAATTCTTTGGTGGCCAGGATCCTTTTGCAAGTTTCTTTGGTAAGTCACACCTACAAGACAGGATTCTAGTGTCACCTTTATCGATTTAACAGAAGTTTAAAGAAATGGTGAGAAAAAAAGCATGACAGAGAAAGTCATAGTGGTGTGCACACTTTGACAGGTCATGAATAATAACAAAGGTACAGCAATATGACAGTAACATTAAGGACTCCAAGATACCAGTTGAACAATTAAGTTTACTCAAAAAATATGTGGAGAATGTGTTTTTTTTTTATATTCAGGTTCTGATCATTCCTGTTTCTCTCTGTATCTCAGATGATTTCCCATCATTTGGAGGCCCATCGTCTCGTCTCGGCCCAGGCCGCTTTTTCTCGTTCCCTTCAGCAAACACTGGTGAACAGTCACGCCTCATGTTGAATAAGTCAACGTTTATTTCCTAGATTTGAAGGATTTTTATATTTTCCTCAGACAAATTAACACCAAATAATTGAACCCATTCTTTTGGTTTGTCATCTGTCTTTGCTCAGAGTTTACCTCGTTCTCCTCTTCCTTCGGCGGTCTGGATGGGATGGAAAGCATGGGTGGAGGGACGGGCAACTTCAGATCAGTTTCTACCTCCACTCGTATCATAAACGGAAAACGCACAACTACCAAGAAGTATGTAGCCTAATGTTTAGGACAAGATCCATCCAAAGATTTTTGGTCTTTACTTTAAATGTAAACAATAACAATCACAGTTTTTTTTTTTGAAATGTCATATTTTGACTTTGAATTGATAGTTTACCACAGAGGGTAAAAGAATTATGGACAAATGTAACAGCAGGGTGGAGTACTAAACTTGGTACATGAAGGTAAATATATATAATTATGTGTAAAACATTTCATAGGGCTGTCAAATTATTGCAATTGTTAATATTATTTGCATTAAAAACATCTGTTCTGTCATCTCACAGAAAAGAGAAACGTAATAGCGAAGAAATAATCATAAACTCATTTTTAACAGATTGTTTGTATTCATCCTCAATTTGATTGATTTTATATATTTTAGAATTCTAGAAGCAATTTTAAACATATTTGTTTCTTCTTTTCAGAATCAAGGAAAATGGACAGGAAAGAGTAGAGGTTGAGGAGGATGGAGTTCTAAAGAGCGTTCTTATTAATGGTAAGGTACCGTAGTTCCTGTACAATAATACCAGAACTCCTAAAAGCAGACACAATTTTAGCTCTTAGCTGACATAGCCGTGTTCTATTGTGCATTGTTCACAGGTGTTGAAGATGAAATGGCCCTGGCTATAGAGATCAGCCGACGAGAGGCGGAGTCCCATCACTTGCCCGAGAAGCCACGCCTCCAAAACAGGACGCCCACTGAGCCTGACAGTTTTCACTCCAGCCCTTTCTCAGCAGCCACACGTCGATCGCACAGTGCTGCGCCGTACTACAGCTATGGAGGGCTGGGTGGAGGTGTCGAGGATGATGAAGATGAAGAACTTCAGATGGCTTTGGCATGCAGCCTGTCAGAAATGGAAGCACAGCAGAGAGCAGCTGCCACGGGCGTCACATCAGGTGCTGGGCGTGGGGGCAGAGCAGTTGGTGACAGAAGAGGTGGTGGGGTTACTAAGACTAAAAAAATAGTTATGGCTAGTGTGGCAGAGGAGAAAGAGAAAGAAAACCAGACTAATATGTCCTCAGCAGGACAGAGTGAAAGGAAAGGAAAGGAGAAGGAGGCAGGCATGTCACCTGAGTCAGCCACAGCTCAGTGCAGTGAGGAACAGCTTCAACCTGCCACGACCAACAGTGATGGAGGCGTGAAAAAGCGAAAAAAGTGTGGCTGTGTTGTGTCCTAAGGCTGTGTGGGTCAGCGTTTGTGCGTAAATGCCTTACTTTAACACTCATGGCTATTAAAATGCAAAAAAACAATCTTTGGGGGTTGCTAGTTTACATACATTTTTAGTTTTTAATTTTTAGATAATAATCACAACAAGAACAACAATAATAATATTGAATAAATTGATTTTCTTTACTCAAATGTGCCATATATTTAGACAGCAATGCAGTGAATTTTAGTGTTTCAGCTGTAGCCAAGTTTGTAGTGAATGTGAACCCCGTCTGCTGTGTGTCTGTGACAAATGAATGTATGACCACTGAGGCGTTGAAACAACTGATGAAAATGGAAATGAAGTCACACAACCATCTTCGGTTTCTAATGTCAATCATGAAACACATTTTGCTGTGAAAATAATTATTAGGTGCGACAATGAAATGAAACCACAACTTCTATTTTAAACTATGTGATAATATATAATTTAGGACATTAACTCCTTTTTACAGTACAGCAGCCATACCGTACAAACTGATAGAAAATATCACCGTAGCACCTTGGAAGTGAAGCATATACAATACATTAAAAAATGCGATACATTCACAATCAGAAGGACCAGTTTTTGTATTTAGTTTCTTTTGCAAGTTTCAGTTGCAATCAGTATTAATTATTCCAAAAAAAGACCAATTCCAAAAAGTATTTAAAACCTGAAGGGACCTCACACATTATCAGTTAATATTATTAGTTTCCAAACTTTACTATGCTCAAGTGGCCAGAACACACATATAACATTTTTAATTTTACAAAGGGAATGTTTGTTTACACATTTTCACTGTCTGGAAATATCCTACTCAAAAAACATTTTGTATCTCGTGCAACCCTTAGTGGCAGCTCGCAGCTAGTGCAGCAATTTAGGAAACCCTGATCTGGGATGTTCAATTGTTCATACTATTTCTATAAATTATACACTACCTATTATTTTTTTAATTAATCTAAGCAAGTAAGGTAGGGAGAACCATAAGTGTGTGTGTGCATGCATGTGTGTGAGGGTGTGCCTATGTTTTGCTTAGAACATGAAATCTTGTTGCCAAAACATACAGCTCTACTGAAAATTAAACCTGCTGGTGCCACTAATATGTCGTTTTTAGGCACACCTGCTGGTGCCACTAATATGTCGTTTTTACAGACCTGCATCCATCATTGGACAGTTGTTGTCCTGAGATAGTCACGTTTTCACCTGTGCCTAATAATCAAATTGTACTTTTTTAAAGATAAAGAAATCACTTTGGTTTTTTTCTTGTCTGGCAAGAAGATGAAACAAAGATTGAAGTTCGTATTTTTTTACTGAACCAGTTTTACAGAATTTTATTTTTAATTTCCAGTTACTTAAGAAGGTTGCGCCCGAGATGTCAACAATGACAAATACCGATTGACTATAATGGCCGTTAATACACTGCATATTTGTATACTTTCTCATTTTATTTCTTCAGACCTTAATAAATGTCTCCTTTCACCCACTCAGGCGCCTTTGTCTTAATTACAAGCCTCCCACTTCTCCTTTATTGTATTTCCTGCTCAATTTAAATCACGTAAAAGCAAAAATATGTATTAGGGTGAAATTTGTGACTGTCTCTTACACATGCTACTTCCTTTTTCAGACTCAGACTTCCAGGCCACGAGCTAAACTGCTTGGCTCATGATGTTGTATGACCTAACTCGTACATGAGGTAAACAACAATTTAAATGTATATCAACCTGAGAGCTGTTTCTTTTTTCTTTTCCCAAGTTACTTCACATGAGACAAAACTCAAAGACCTTACTGTTTCTATATTTACATTTAAAAAAATAATAAAGAACTCGACATTAACTTTTGCTTGTGTTTTCACAGGTCTCTTTCCCATGATGCACTTCTCTGTATCTATCCAAAAGTGACTACTACCTGCTGAATGACACTTAAAAAACAAGCTGCAACACGTACTTTTATATGCTTTTGAGATTGTGTTTATTACATGTAGTGGAGTGTGTGAAAGACTGGAATTATGGAAACTGTTTAATTTAATCTCTGCCTTTGTCATCGATACTTCTGCACTTATAACCTCTTTTAAGGGAGAGCAGATACAGCACATCACATTAATAAGGGAGCACCTAGTTTGCTCTGTGTTTTTGTTTAGGATTAAATACTAAGTCATTTTATTTATAGGCTAACATTTTTTGGTACAGAAAAATGAATGTATTGCATTTTCTTAATAGTAAGTGACCACAGTGGAAATGGATTACTGGAAATGGATGCATGAAGCCAAAAATCTCACCAGAGCCATAAAGAGCTTACAAATAAAGCATTTCCTCCTGACAAAACCTGACTTATTGTGATAATGATTTTAAGTTTATCTCACGTTTGCTCATAGCGTTTAACACACGTTCGTGTGTTAAACGTAATTTATGGCAGGTGTTTTAGTCCCGCCTCCCACTTTACACGTTAATTCACACGTCTCCGTACGTTGATTAAGTTTGCTATGGATGTAAATCTGTTCATATTATTTTGTAATCCGCAAATAAAGTTAAATATACTTTAGACATGTTATGTTACGGCAGCTAGCTACCGTATACCATCTGAACATTCATAAATGAAATGACAATTTACAGAGTCGTTACTTACCTCACGGAGCTTTTTATACCATTCAACCATAACCGGTGGTTAACGTTAAAAACACTGTTTAAATTGTATAAATATTTTAAACGTTATTCGACTACTATAGTCTACATTAGACCAAGGTGCTTTTTTTAAAGCACCTCGAACATGACGAACTTCGAACAGTTTTTTTTTCGTTCCGGCAAAAACAGAAAACAAATAGCCGAATATTACCCGAATTTGTTTGGTGTTGCAAACTTCTCGAAATACTGTACGTTTAAAATGTAACAGCAAAGGAAGACAAATTATGTGACACATAAAAATCCCTAATGATCTTTTAATAATTCCACACTGTAATCAAGTTTGTTCAACTGACTTGGACACAACAGGCTTCTTATAAATGGTTTGGTACTTACAGCATGAATGGGTTAAAAAATGAATAAAACCATTTCACAGCAAAGACTACAGTAGACTTATGGCTCCACAAAAATAAAGTAATTTCACATATAACAATAGGCATCATGAGCACACATGCAAGGCATAAGGGTATTATGAAGTTTGATACTTGATTATTGTGGTGTAAAAAACAAAAATGAGTAAACATTAAACTTTCTCCATTTTGGAAAAAAAAACAACTTAAAATGAAGGTTAAGTTGCACAACAAGAAAATAAACACCTGTCATAAAAGTCATAATATCACCTTAATTTTGAGTTAACCTAAAATAAAATGTTCCACCTAAATGCCTTTGTAATGTTTTGTTTGTCTTTTTTATTTGAAGAAAATTGTACACAAAAGCTCTTCTCAGTCCTAAATTTCTGAACTGTATTGTATGTTGCTTTTTAGAACAGACAGATTTGAACATCAACAACTGTGAATAATAAGCTGCATCTTTTCTGTGTAGTGAAAATTTAAAGGAGGAATTACACGATTCCATGCTTCTTTCTCCAGACCGGATTCAGGATCAATCACTGTCAGAACTTGAACTTGACCCAGAGTCTGACTTTTTCTTCTTGTCGTCATTCTTCTCTTTGTCTTTTGTACTATCAGGCCTCGGTTTTGCGGGACTTCTTCTGTCTCTGGACTTGGAGCGACTCTTCTGCCTCTTCCTCTTCTCGTGCCTGTCACTGTCGGAGCTGCTGCTGCGTCTTCTTCTTCGGCCAGCAGCTTCTCTGTCTTTATCTCTTCTATAGGAGAAGCGCTCTCTGCTACGATCTCTCCTTTTGCTCCTACTCCTACTCCTACTCCTGGAGTGGGTTTCTCTGTTTGAGTCTCTGCTGGTTTTGTTTCTATCTGGACTTCTAGCTCCACGGTCCCTGTCCCTGGACGTTTCTCTTCTCTTATTGTCTCTGTCGCGTCTTCTGTCCTGACTCCTGCTGCGTTCTCTGCTTTTGTCTTCCTTGTCTTTGACTGATGTTCCACCTTTGTCCCTGTTTCTGCTTCTTGATCTACGCCTTTCCTTGGATTCATTTTCTCCCTTGCTTTTGGACTTGGATCTACTTTTCTCATCATGTTTATCTTTTGTGTCCTCTTTAGGTTTCTTACCAGACTCACTGCTTTTGTTTCTATCTTTGCTGTGATCAGACTCTGACTCCTTTTCTTTCACGTCAGGATTTCTCTTTCTGCTTCGGGAGCGACCTCTCCTCTCATCACTTTTGTGCCGGTGACCTTTATCTCTGCTCCTTGACCTTCTGCTCTTTTCTTTGCTTTTGCTACGACTTCGAGATTTATCACTTTTCTTGTCTTTGTTTTTGCTTTGCTTTTCATCCGGCGGGGCAACATCCCCTTCTTTGCTCTTGGATCGATGTGACCGAGTTTTCTTGTCTTTTTTATTTTCATCTGATTTTTCATGCTTTGTACCAGACGCCCGTCTCTCTCTTCTTGGAGCTCTAGTATCTTCATCCTTAGCTTCATTCATGTCACCCCTAATTAAAAAATTAATTACAGTTTACAGCATATCAAATTTGATTTGCTGCTGCCCCACATAATTTCTATTGAAATATTATACATCACTTATATCAGTTAAGAATATTATATCAGCTAAGAACATCTTTTTCCCCACAATCTGCATTTTACTGCAGTACTGATTTCGGTCTGTCATGAATAAATTCGTGAGGCATCTTACTTGTCTCCTTTGATCCAGCGTTCTCCAGTGACTGCTCTCATCCTCTGACGCTGCATCTCTTGACGCCAGTGTGGAGGAGTTTCACTGCGGCGGAAACGATCTCTGGACCTCGAGCGAGAAGGGGTTCGGTATCTCTGTGTTGGATATTTGATAAAGATGAAACACATGTATAATGAGGACCAAAAACTCAATATTCAAGACAAAGGCCCAGTCTGCAAATGTAATTAGCAATCTATTAAAAGATGAAAAGAGCATAGGCCGGTTCAATCGCTGTGCACCTACCCTCGGACCTCTGCCCTTAATCTTTCTGCCAGATCGTGTCATGACGAGTCTTCTGTGATAGGTTGATTGAGAGTTATACCCAACACTACAAAAGAAAAACATTTATTCATTTAACATTCCTTATTTCTATTTCTTTGCATCTCTTTCATTTAAGACCTTGGACACCTCAAAACTGTGTCTTAACATGTTTTGGTTATTATAAACTGGCACTATTTAAAATTATACAATTTGTCTTAACCCATACCGTTCATATATCACAGGCATATAAAATAAACACACTTGTCTCGTGGTCTTTCCTCTCTGTGCCGTTGCTCCTTCTGAGCTTCCTCTTTTGGATTTTGAGCAGCCTGTGGACTTCTCCTCATGAGGAATCGGTTTTCAGGGATGGGCGGTATTTCTTCAGGCCGTACAGTAGATGTAACCAAGTCCTCTTGTTCCTTCTCTTCTGAGCTTTCAGCTTTGGACCTGAGAGAAGAAATGGAGTTCAGCATAAAGACTCAAACTTCTTGTTCTTTTTACTGGTTTAATGAATCAGAAAAATTACCTTTTCTTTTCCTTCTTCTTCTGTTTTTTCTTTAGCTTTTTCACCTTCTTTTTCTGCTTCTTGGATTCCTTCTCTGACTCTTCAGAGTCAGAAGAGGAATCGGAGGAGCTGTCAGAGTCGCTGGAGCTGCTGCTGGAGCTGGAAGCTCTCTCCCTCTGTTTGTCATCTTTCTTTGCTTTTGATTTGGGGACCAGCTCTCCACAGTTCAGAACTTTCACCTCTGCACATGGTTTGCTGTTTGGATCTGTTTTCTGGCTCTCCATGGTTTGAACAACTTCTTGGCCAGAGATCACATGACCAAACACAACATGAACTCTGGAAATAGTAAAATGGGTTACAGTGTTTTTTATACCCTAAAGGCATAATGTGATCAGTGTTCATTGTATAAATAATTATTGATAAAGAGCAATTGAAGATTACTTACCCATCCAGATGTGGTGACGGTTTTGTTGTTCTGATGAAAATAAATAAATAACATTTTTAGTGAAGGTTTTAAGTATAAACAACACTTAATAAACAAACAACAATAATGCTTACATGAAAAATTGGGATCCATTTGTGTCTTTCCCTCTGTTTGCCATGGAAAGAAGGTACTCTTTGTTATGTTTAACAGCAAAGCTTTCATCTGTTGGAAAG